GCAGAGGCGCGCTCTTCACGCGGCGTTAAGCCCCAGAACCCTTTGCTTTGTTTAGCGTCGCGTTTAGCGCTCTACGTATGCATGTGTGCATGCACGCCGTCAGCCGCCATGCCGCCGCTTAACTGCGCAGTACGTGAAAAAAATCGCATGTAACGTAAACGCGCGGCCGAGACTCGGATAGCCATATTTAGAGCGCTAAATGCGCCGTGCGAATAGCCGAGCTTCACGGCGATCTACGATGCGGTCGAGGAGGCACAACGACAACGGCGGCGGTCAGCCGCGACGTTCCTCCTTTTTTCTTTTTCTGCTTCTCTTTTTTTTCTCTTTTCTCCTTTTTTTCTTCTTTTACACGATGTTGCGCGCGACTCCGTGACGTCAGCCGCCGGTTCGTTCGGTCGGTTTTGTCGGCGGATTCTCTCGACGTCGGAGAGAAAGCATAGACAAACATAACCTACATAGAACGGTCCCTCGAGCGCGGCAGGGTCAACGTACGACGAAACCGGAAATTCGTCGTCTGCCTCGAGACGCGAGTCGAGACTAGAAGAGTTCCTATTTCTTCCTTTTCTTTTTCCTTTTTCCCCCTTGTTTCCTTCTCCTTTTTTCCGTTTCTCCGTTTTTCATCGACGATCGCGCCATGCTCAATGTGGATTCGCGTCTTATCAGTCTATATAATCAGCCTAACAGGACACGCTCGAACGCGAAGGAATACGTCGGATTTTATCGGATTATGTACAGAGTTCTTGTAATATTATTTCTTTGAAAAGGTGTAAGATAATAAGAGAAAATACTCTCATCTTGGACGATTAAGCTTATATAGAATTCGCGTTCCTTCCTCCGCTACAAGCGATTAATACGAAATAATCATTTTATTCAATTATGATTTATAGGTCTTGTTTAGTAGTATTATTTTGTCAATTTATATATATATAAACAATAATATGTAATAGGCCAAGATAAGTTTCAAAGAATAGAATATCAGATAGCAAGAATAACAGATAGCATTACTTGATAGGCAGGATCTTAGAAGCTTTTCTTTTTAAATTTATGTATATAAATTCTAAATATTTATTTATATCATTTACATATTTATATATTATATTATGAATTTATATATATTTAACTATAATATATATCCAACAAATTAAGATTAATATGCGCTAAAAATCCTGTCTCAATAATATCTGAATTACCTATTCCTGTTAAAAATAAATCTGTCTTGTATATTTCTAGTATTCAAATGTTTTATAAGTGTTTAATTCAAAATAATTGCATTTCAATTCTTCTTTCCTCAAATGGAAAGCTGACGAAGATACGATTGAGAAAATCGAATCTAGATCGTCGTGGATGTGAGTTAAGTATACTGGCGCAAACTGGGGCAAATGACAAACCGGTTTCGAATATAAATAGAATAACGATCAAGTCACAACGAGAGAGTCTCGAATATATTTAAAATTTAAGAATCTCTCGAATTCATGAAAAAGTCACGAAGAAACTTTTCGAACGGAACTTGCACTCCGGCCGCCCCCACCGTCCAATCTTTTCCGTCTCGACGTATGTACTTGCGAGAATTAACAGAGCCAATAAAAATTCTGACGTGTGGCCTGAAGTATTCGACGTATGCCGCAATAAAAGACATTTAGGATCATTTTCAGCGCGGCTACGTGAAACGGAAATTAAATAAAACCGTCAGCAAAAACCGAGGCTTCCCTCGTCATCGAGGCCCACCTCGTCGCGTCGTATCTCGCGGCCGCGTGATTTACACGTTCGCGGCCCGAAACCGCAGAAATCCAAGAAAGCGAATTGCACAAAGGAGTAGCGCCGAGAAGCGCTCAGAGAAGCTCCCTCTCCCCCCCTTCTCTCTCTCTCCCTCCCTCCCCCCTCTCCTCCTCTCTCTCTCTCTCTCTCTCTCTCTCTCTCTCCTTGCATCCTCGCTCCTCGTGCATCCTCCGTGCTCCGACGCGCTCCTTTATCCGCCGCGCGTCCGTGTCTCCCGTTCGCACGCCCGTGTGCCATTTACGAGGCAAACCGGTTTACGCTTTTTGCAAGCCTCGCGGCTTCGCGAAGAATGTTGATTTTTGCGATATATACCGCTTGGGAACCTAACCTACATCATTATCCGGATGAGAGCTGACTGCGCTCGAACGCAAGCCGCGCGGCTGCAAGCAAAAGCCGCACGAAACTGTCTCCTTAGCGCTGACATCCGCGGCCCTGCGGATGGAACATTCGCGGGAAAGGATTCATTCCGCACCTCGGAAATCAGCCGGCGCCTAATTTTAAATCTCGCCATTGTTTGCGAATCGCGTTACATTGTCGTCGTCTCGATTTCGAAACCGACGAGCGTGAATATTAATCAAACTGAAAAAAATCGGGCCATAGAAAACGAAATCGCCCCTCTGAAAACAATTATTTCGCAAGCGTATAATATTTACGTGAAATCAAATGCGAATCGACGATCGATGTCGAAGAACGCCGTCTTGCGAAATTGAAATCGTATCTTTTCGATTTTGCCGAGGATTTAAGTTCAGACGTATAAAGGTCGGGACCTCGATCTCTCTCACGGAGAGGATTTCTATCGGGTTTAATCTTTTAATTTTTATCCGACCTTCGACTTTACCGGCCCACCTCAATTAAATTAAATTGTCTAAAATATCGATTCGCGATGCCCTTTCGTGTTATCGGTAAATATTTCTGCAACCGTGAATAAAAATAAGATTTCGTGAAGCTTCTACAAAAATTTATTGTCTAAACTAACTTAATCGTCGTGTGAGCTACGTGTCGAGCCGGAATGATCTCGAATTATTAAATCGGGAAGGCCTTCGAGGAATAATTCTATTCAACTTGAGAAGGTTAATTCGTCTAATTTCGTTGGATGGGAACGATCCCACGAGACATGGTGTATTTGAAACGTTCGGTTATCGTGAAGAAGAGGTGTCCCGGTCCGGCCTTTTAACAGTGGCGTCACGAATGAAAAATGATAATGAGGCGCACAGTGCTGTAGGTTAGTGAGAACAATAGCCAGTTCGTGCTTAATGAGCCGGGACGTATGCGGCTCGCGTGCTCGTGTAATAAAAATATATTTTCGGCGCCGGGGCCGTGCCTCGAATGACGAGCGCGGGAATCGCCGAATTCGTCCTCGACCATGGCGGCAAAGCCGCCTCGCCGCTCGTTTGCCGACGATGCGGCATTTCAATTCCGTCGTGTTCTTCGATTCGCGCGTGTGTTTCCCGCACGTGTCGCGTTAACAACGATCCTCGTTGTCCGCCTCGCGAATAATAAATAATCGCGACATTTTTGCCGACATTTTTATCTCGTCACCGCGCTCCGCTAATTTTTATCGTATATCGTATTATAAAATGCTTTTTATACATTTCAAAAATTTCTAATGTTATCGATAATACATATATCAATAGGTGTCAAATTGTTCCAAACATTTTTATCATCAAACATTTTAAAAATTTGTAGTGGCAGAGTATAATGAAATATGACACACGATACGATAACGATATTTATATACGAAGAGAATGGTTCTGCTGTTGAAGTGTCTAAAAAATTGATGATCAGACAGAAATCTGAATAATTTGGTTAAACAATTGAAATATGTAGGATTCGTTTAAATTGGTTGCAAAAAATATCAAGAATGTTTATATAATAATAATATAATCACACAATAATAATATAATCATGTTTAATAGTAGTTTTTATAATTATTTCAATTTCTAACAAAATTATTTTTAGATCTGTATTTAGATAAATTTTTAGATGCTTCAGCAAAATTTGTTTTGTAATGTCTCAATATTTTCAGGATAAAACGAATGATTTTACTTAACTAACAATCCTCAAGTTCTACTGATGAGATGTTGATATTTCGAGCTGATTTTCGCCCTTAAAAAGGCAGAGATTACATCCGTATATATTTTGCGAATCGTGTTCGCACGATCGGGAGATTCTGCAGGAGAGCGCAGAAGTCGCCGGGAGATCGGTGAACGATGATCGGCTCCCAGCAAACGGTACGCGGTGTGCATCCCGCCGCAGCGGACATTATCGGAGGCGAGTCACGAACAGGTCTCAGTGCGCGCGATCGGGAACCGGTTGTACGAAACTTTCGAAAATTCCAGAATGACGTAGTCCCCTGCTCTCGACGGGTGTGCAAGCACAGCGGGCGAAGACACACACCGTGCTTCTCTCATTCTTTATTTACAGTTACTTACGTAACGAGACGTGAGCCTCCCTGCCTCCTTTCCCCCCCCTCTCTCTCTCTCTCTCTCTATATATATATATATCTCGCTCTTCTTTTTTTATACATACACACTGTGATCTGTTCGAGATACGACGACTCGATTGATGTCAGATTCGTGCATACTGAAAAACGTGCGTGCATGAAAATGATCGTGAAAATGAAGGATGGATGTCGCATGCATCACACGGCAAGCGGAAATGTTGCTCACTTACCTTCATCAAGTCATTTCCCGAGTCGCTACTCTACCTAGGACACTGACAAAAGAAATCGTTGGCGAGTAACAGCGCGCCGGTGAACCGCACCGAGCGCAAAAACCGGAGCGCTATTGTAAGTCACGGTGCGAGAAAACAATCGTGCCGTGATAACTCTCGCGCTTAGGCGAGCGAGCAGACAATCAGCGGAAAAAGTCGTCGTTTGCGCGACTGACGCCATGAGAAAAATGAATACAGGGTGAAACAGTCGATTGAATTACGCGTCGATTGATAACAGTGGACGGATATCGTTCGCGCATATTCGTCGCCGGAATCAATTTAATCGTTTTTAAAAAAGGAAATTTTATTATATTCAACCGGGCAAGTTTTGCAATCGTCGTATCTTCTGGTTTTCCATGACATATTACAAAGTATAATCGCTTGAATTCTTAATGTGTATTATCCTGGCATATATCCCGGAATAATAATCCATTTCCGCGTATTTTTAGCGCATATAAAATTTCAATAAATATAAAGATCGCATTCGCGATAAGAAATTTTGATGTACTTACGTGCGCCGCGTTAACTGATCAACGATGGTGGAACTTGGTAACTTGTGGAGAACACCTGGATCTACTGGATCACTTGCAACGACTTGGTCATAATTCCCTGAAAATTGTGAAAATTTATCATTACGCGTAATATTTTTTTTTAGATCAACATAAGAGAAATCTTGAAAACCTTGATGAAAGAATTCTCATTGATAATTTCGTCACAATAAACTTATTTGAATTCCCTTACAGAAATCCAATTTAACACTGGTTAATATAATATTGGAAATTATTTATATATTTCGAACAGTGCTTTTAATACTCAAAATAAATAATTAATCATTACCTTTCAGTATTAAATTTTTATAAAATTTACAAAAAATTTTTACAATTTCACATCTATCTCCAAACGAAAATAACTCGAAAGTATTAAAGAATACTATATGTATAATGCAGATTTATTATATGTTACAACGTTATTTGTTTTAACATCTTAATATAGACATTATCGTTAGATGTTATCGTCATCACGTCGCTTTTACCTTGGACAAAATTCGTCTCCGTTTCGTCTTCGATAAGATGGCAATCGGGTTCAAATTCGCCTGTTAAATGCCCGGACATTCTCCAGTCGTGTATTTCCTTTCGTAAAATGTAAATCTCATCATTGTTGTCCGCGCTGGCGACGTTGGTTTCGTCAAACAAGCGAACCTTGTGTTTCACGTCGTCGTGCACCATTTTATTTTCCTTTCGCGTAAGAAGCTGCCGCTTGCGAGGATCTCGCGACTTGGTCGCGCAACTTTTTATTACAACGTCTCCGTCCTTCGAGGACCGTGTCTTTTGCGGCGACGTTCCTGCGGACGTGAATCTTTTTCTGTCGACTACGGATTTTGCGTGTCGCTTGGAAGACACGTTTCTTGAGGACATGTTGACAGCAGCGATTCTTCCACGATCGTGATATTTCGCTCTCTGAAATATCGAAGGACATATGTTAATTATTGCAACAACACAGAAAATGTAGAAAACACAAAAATAATAATGGACGGGTACAATTGAATATAAATTGATACGATTGGAAATAATTAACGCTGTTAAGAATCGATACATCCAATCTCGTTTTATTCATCGGGCAGATCTTGAAATAAAATTCCGAGCGCAAAATACTCGATAAATCAAAATAACATTTGTTAAAATATAAATTACGTTGCAAAAGAGAGGGTTTGATCGCGATAAATTATAGATGGTAGCGAAATATCGTCTGCCATGATATCAAAATCGAATCATGAAATACGAAGTCTTATTTTATATTTTTCACGGCTTATGTGTGTGTGTGTGTGTAATATTACACATAATATTTAAAATTCATTTAATATCTCTTAATGTGACATTTGCTGCAACGTAAATTTCTCTAACGAAACAGAAAATGGGAAAAAAACAATGAATTAAATGCAAATCAGCGTGAATTGCCATAACTTACAATCATGTCAACGACGCAATGGCGACACGCAACAATAGGGGTTATAAATCTATGGCGGTGTTGCGGCGCGAATTAGAGAGTGCGGTAAACAATCGTGCGGTCATATCACTTCACGATGTTTGAAGAAAGAGAGAGATATAGAAAAAAAAAAGAAAAAATCTTTATTTATTATTAATTATCGCGAGGGATAATTTCGCGAAAAAGCACGGTGGAGACTGACGATTCAACGTGCGCGCGCTCCAGAGTTTGACAGGCGCGTGTACGATCTGTACAGCGCGTTTCAGGTTCGTTGAGCTCGAAAGAGGAAGACTTTCGACTGTCAGCTGTCCCTTGGCAGTTCATGCTACCGTAACGAAGACGGAAAACGTTATGGAGATGGTCGTGCGGAACGAACGCTACGAGAACCGGGTTGAAACGAGCGATGAAACATTCGCTTCCTAACATTCAACTTGCCACTATTGGCAAGTGTCAGCTTCAACAAACAAATTTGTTATTCGAGTCCTAATTTTTGAATCTATTCCTCATCGCAGTGCAAGTTTCTTTTTCGTTTTCTTTGGGCATTTACCCATTTCAAACGAGTATATACCGTATTCACCTAATAATAAAAGAACAGAGAGTCGAGTATGTATCTTGGAACGAGGTGGAAATTACAAAAGTGAGAAAATTCACTAGAATATCTGTAACTTCATATGTCGAAAGTTAGAAAATTTCCTCACTTTTGTAATTTGATCTTGCTTCAAGATACACAATCAACTCCCTGTTCTGTTATCAGATGAAGTATACTTGTAGTGTATACTTGTTTAAAATGAAATTGGTAAATGTCCGAAATTTGGAAGAAAAAAAACTTGCAATGCGATGAAGAATAGATTCAAAAATTAGAGCTCAGATAAAAATTTGTATGTTTGAATAATCAAAGCCCAAAAAATAAGCATCGAATTTGAATAATTTTGGCAAAACTTAGAATTTGGTCTGTCAATTTATTATGTTTGCAGTTTGAACAATTTGGAAGAATATAATTAGAAATACAGTATTTATTGGAAGGAAAAAATAATTTTTTATGAATTTTCCTTTTTTTAATTTCATGCGTATGTCATATTGATTTAAACTATTGAGTTTAAACTATTCAAACATATTTTCAATTTGGAAGGTTTGAATTATTTTATGTTCAATTTAGAGATATTCGAACTATTCAATCTCTTCATTCTTCAAAGCATCAATCAAAGAGGAGACCAATGGAGTTAGAAAAGTTTACTTTATAGTCGTCCTTATAATTCGTATTAAAATTCAACATAGTTTTATCTACAATTTTCTATTTACTATTAGGTCTATTTATATATAACCTATTTTATTAAATCAAATTAAATTAAATTTTACCATTTCAACAGAACGCGTACGAAAGAAAAAATCAAAGATTACACGATTGGACTTGCGGTTAAAATACTAAATATCCATAAAAAAAAAGAAAGAGGCAAAAATAGTCGATATTTTTAAAAATAATTTCTCGTCTCATCTCATAAAGTAATTGCCATTTTCTTGTCGTATCCGGCGGTAAAGCTGCATTCCTTGATAACGCTAATGACTGCGTCGCCTGTCTTTCCGGAAACAAAATGGCGCGTACGATAGACGAACAACGCGCCCTTTTTCACGCCTCGATCCGGCGGCGATACCGCACATCTGCCGCTCGTTTCCTGCCACGGAAAACGTCCGTCGATTTCTTCCAGAAACGATCGAGCAGGCCGATCGCTTAATCGGAGCCCGGCCGGCTCGATTGACTTTCACCGCGCGTTCGATTCCCGCCCGAAAAATTTCTCCGCAAACTCACCTTTTAAACGCAGCTGCCGCGTTTCGATGGCAGCTGGATCCGAAACTCGCGCCCGATTGATTTTCCGTCTGCGTACATTCCGGGTTTTTATCTCTTTTCCTCCGTCTTTCTCATGCCGTCTCTCCGCGCCTGTTTCCGAATGACGGATCCGATCGACGAGAAAGTAACGAAACGCCAGTGTGTTTTTCTGAATTCGAGAGTGTTCGATATAACGATCGAAGGAATTGCACTATTCAGGAGACGATCACTTCGATGACGGTTTAAAATTCGCTCGACGACGTGCTGCCAACTGCGAAGATTGAAACAATCTTCGAATGGGACTAGTTTATGAACGCCAATAAAAAACGCGCATAAGAAAAAAACATTAAACTGTCCTATATCAAAAAATGCAACAAAAAAGAATTTATATTTGAAAAAAAGCTATTTTTTTTCTTGCAAAGAAATGCAATAAAAGTGTAAAACCGGGAAAAGCAATTTAGATTATAATAAAAAATATATTAAGAATATAATAAGAGTATAAAACTATTTTTTAATTGTTTTGTCGTAGTTATATATACATTTCGGCGTTCTCAAAACACCTCACTTGAAAATGTATACATGGATTGTGCATACGTGCACGTTTCTAACCTCAAAATCAACAATCACGAGCTGATGCGATATTTACGAATCACGAGAACGTAGTAAAGGCTGACGAAGCTATTTTGCATAAATATTGAGTTCTAACAATGGCGATGCAAGTCCCGACTGACGTGGATGCTGATCAAATCAAATCTGTATGTATTTCTAGCACTTGAACGATATTTTTGCTGTGCGACTTAAAAGTACACGTTATCCAAGCATTTCTATCAACTTCAATAAGACAATCAATCAATTTATCTACATACGTAATATAACCTAAATATTATATTTGCGTTTCACAGTTTCGAGACTTCTTGACGTCGTATAACAAGCTCTCTGAAATTTGCTTTGTCGATTGCATAACTGACTTTACGACGCGAGAGGTTCGAGCCAAAGAAGAGAAATGTGCCCTTAACTGCATGGAAAAATACTTGAAAATGAATCAGAGAGTATCTCAACGCTTCCAAGAATTTCAAATAACTGCTAATGAAAATGCCATAGCTGCCGCTAAGAGACAAGGTCAGGCCAACTAATATTATCCATGAAAATATAAATAAAATCATTGTCTTCAGAAGATTAGCCTTATTATTATTGTAATATTATAGGATTACAAACATAATTCGCAAGATTCCTCAAGTAATTGTTGATGATAGTACATCCCATTTAATATTTGGTAGATGATTGTTCAAGATTTCAAAATTTTTTATTAGATTAAAATAAAAGAAAATATATTAATTGTATAATAAATACATACATCATTTGTAATACATCATAATATAAAATATTAAATGTATAAATTATACAAGTAATGGAATCATGTACATGTTAAATAAGTAAACTTGTATTTAATGTAAATTTTACTCTGAACTATATTGTGCCTGGATATACTATGATTTTTTCCCATACTATAACATTTATGTATAAATATTATATTTTCCACTTTTCAATATTAATTTGTAATGTATGAAAAATTATAAATGTATTTTAATTCAAAGTTGCAGTAATATATTATTTATATTACATTTCTTGTAGTTTTTTTGCATGATTAGATTATAACGAGTATTAACACTTTGTTTTTATAATGTAAGAATTATATACAAGAGATATATACACACATGCGCTGATGCATATATACACTTGCGCATATATATATATTAAGAAAAACAATAACAAATTATATATATTATATATTATATGTCTAACTAGACTTAGAATGTCCAAAATCAGAGAATTTTGACTTCCCTTGTACTTCAATATCCATACTTTCGCTTTCCCATTCAAACGAAGAATATGTTTGTACGTTTGCTTGTATAGGACCCACATTATTTTGCGCTTGATTTATGATTTGCGAATCAAAGCTTGTGCTGGAGATCTGAATCTCCTCGGTTTGCATCGTTGAGTCTGAATTTGGCGAATTTGGAGGTGTTTTACGCAATCTCTTGTAATCTGAGAATCTATTTAATGATACTTGGTCTACGCACACAGCCTGCGTAGTATGCCGTGTTTTATATAATATCGGACAGCCCAAATCACCTTTTAAACTTAAGCTGTACAAATTAGCGAGTCGACGGAGTTTTTCTCGCTCAGGTTGTCGCATAGGATGGAGTTTCAGTTCGCTCTGTGTGGGATCTTGTAGGAATCGTGAGACTTTCTCGTTGGCCGATGTTATAATAGAATAACCGGGTTTATTGTCGACGTGACGTCGTCCAGCACGAATCTCTCTGCCGCTCAGGCCTTCGCGGATACGTTGTATTCTTTGTCTGTAGTTTTTCTTAGCCTCCGTAATCGAATGCTCGCCGCCGTGTAGTATCATTTGGAAAGTGGAATCCGACGTGGCTTTATCGTCGCTGGTGCTCTCTCCATCGTCTCGCCAACTCGATTCTCCAATCCAGTCCGACTGTTCGTCGTCTCCTGCAAGATAGACATAATTTATGACATGTTGCATGATTGTTTTATATTTATGTTATATTTATTTGTTTTATAGTCATGTTTATGTATGTGTGTGTATGTATTTATTTATGTAATCAGTATTGTGTATATCAATTTAACGTACCTTCTCTATCCTCGTCGTTTGTAATAAGACCTTCCTCCGAATCGCTAGACGAGATGCTGGAACTAGATAAACGAGAACAATCTACAGTGTCTTCGCCTTGCATTTTGTCTCGATTTTTCGGCTTTGCGTTTTTCATCGGTTTAGGCACTCTCATCTCGCAGTCTATCGAACGTTCCCTACATGATCTTTTGCGTTTCCCACACCTGAAATATAAAAGTTACGCGAGTATATTCACCGTTCTTTGTTGCAAATAGAGAAAATAAACAGTTATATTGAACAATTATATTAACTCACCATATAGCGCCATATCTGTTTTTACAATCGCTGCGAAAGATACGTTTCTTCCCGCCGAATGTCGAAGTTGACATAATCGCGACTGCTTGAGAAGTGGACGCGTTGGAATCAGAATCAATGGCCATTCTTTTAAATTTTCTCTTGCGTCTAGTATTTGCTTTCGGCACAAAATTTTCATTCACTGAATCGCTCTCAATATTGCTAATGTTATTCAAATTTGGGAAATGTGCGAAACGTTTAGTCTGATTAGTGTCGTCGCTGTCCGATTGGTACTTGGAAACATTGGTAGTTTTTGGAATGCGAATTTCGCAAATGGAAGAGGAGCTATCATCCGAATGTTTGTTCATACTTAATGCCGCTGCAAAAGTATTATTATATTAGATAGATTTCGTTATACACTTGATAACATGTTTGCTTTAATTCATGATTAACTTTTAACTTGTTCTGCGCTGCAAAGATTGATATTCACAAAGACAGAGGTGACAAATATATTCTGATACATGAAGAAATAGCAGTATATTTAAAATGAATAAATATAAATGAAGTATTTCAGTACTTTATTTATCAACTGAAAACAAATACTTGATATAATTATTTTTCGATTATATTATTTTTGCCTTTATTAGTTCTTATGTGCTTTTTAAAATGTATTCATGACTGTTGAATTTCAAATATTCACACACACAGACACATTCATGTTATCAAAGATCAATGATAAACACTTAAAACATTAAATTTAAAGTCATTGTACAAAAAATCATACAAAAAAATTTTAAATTTTAAAACAAGTGATAGAAACAAAAGATGATACAATTAAAAGACAATTGCATCAAATGTTTAATTTTAAAACAAGCGATAGAAACAAAAGATGAATAATTGTTCAATCAAATGTTCATTACTCGTTAAAGAGCAGAAATTGAATTTAAATTATACCTATTTATCCTAAATATATTGAAATTTCATAAAGAATATATTTGAAGACAGAATATATTTCACTCTGTAAAATATTAGGTATTATCAGTCTATTTAACGGCTAATTCAATATTATTGAAGGAACAGTAGGTTGCCAATATCACCTAACAAGTCATTCTCCCTTACACTTACGAATATTCCCTGTGGAGCGGGCCCTCCTCCTGATGCCCCACCTGCGCCTGAGATTCGCACTGTTGCTGCTCTCCTCCAGTGCCAAAGTCAAATCGTGCACAAGAGCCTCCATTTTTACTCTTAAATCCGCCGGTACTGCTTTCAGAACACGCTCCATTTGAAGGACGCGTTTTTTGCTGCAAACCCATCAAGCAAACTCTTATCTCTTATTCGTCCGACTCTGCTAATTAATACATATGTAAACATTAAGTATCGGATATAGGACGAATTTACATGGCGACTGGTTCGTTTTATTATCTCACAAAATATCATCTTGCAACGCGAGATCACTCAAGCTCAATTCTACTCGTCGCATCGTCTCGCTCGACGCGCAACGGTTCGCAACGTGTACGTTCCTCAATTAACGGCAATTAATTCGCTGAGGGTATTCGATTCTCGACGCTGCGTAACGGAAAAGATGCATGGCATGTATTCACATCTTCGTCCGATCAGGTATCGTTTTTCTACGGCTCCGTGAATCCGTGCCAAGCGAGCGCCGCGATTAATTCGCGATCCATTCTCGGGCGGTGGAGAGCACAACGGCCGATTATTAGCGTCTGGTTAGCGTCACCGAGCGGCCGAACGGAAACGCACGTAAGCCACGCGGCCGAAGAGAGCCGTCCCATCGGGAACATCCGCGATACGTCAACCGCCCGCCGCGGAGGGGGTCAAAACAAATCGCGATTGCGTCGGCTTTTAACTCACGTCGGCGTGTGTGACAATATATGTAACATCCTGTCGCTCACCTCTTACAAGTAATGTCCATGAGAGCCTCGCCTCAAAACTGTCTCATTGTCAAACTCGGTCCACCTGTCGACCGACAATGAAGGGAAAAAAGGGCGACTCGCGGCGCCGAACGTCAATTGTCCGTGGAGGATCGCGTCCGGATCGTCCAAATGTATTTTTTCCACTGTAAACGTATGCTCGCTCGCACACGTCGCTTTAAGATATACCTTGTACGGTGCGCGTATTCGATGTCGTGTGTGCAATCGTGCCGACGCGTCGGTCGCTACATGAGAACGCGTCCCCGACAGGGGCACCATGAGTCTATTTCTATTACTAGTAAATTAACTTTAACTTACTATTTATCCTTTTCTAACTCCAATAATTTAAAAAAAGATAAAAGGTAAATTAAACTGTAAAAAGTAAGTTCAATCGAGATTTAAAAAAAAGTTAATCTTCCGGTAAAAATATACTTTACATATATAATTATTTATAATTCACTATATGTAACATAAAATTATGTATAATTATATCCTGTATCCCTTTATGATTTCATATAATTATCTATACATCTTATATATGAAACATTTTTTACCTGTCGAATAACGTCCATTTTTATCAGTATAAATTAACATTTAATTGCTTTTTTATCTTATTTTAGTTCCTTAAGGGATTCTTAAGAATTAGAAAAAAATACAGAATAAATTAAATCATGATTAAAGGTAATCTACATTCAAATAAATTTATTAATTAAATTAATTCGCAATTAATTTATTTATAATACTTGTAATACTCTGTTAATGGATAGAATTAATCATTTTTAATTTAGTACATGGTAATTACGAAAACCAAAATAGATTCCTTATAGAAATTTAATTACTATACTAGAAGACTAGAATACTAGAAGATAATAATTCATAATTTATTTTGAGCATTTATTAAAAGCATTGTTACTTAAAATTAGTAATTTCCAATATTAAATCAGATGATTCTATAAGAGATTCAAACAAAAAGTGTAATTGGGATTTTTCTGCAAGTAATACTGCTGGAATTAATCGCCGAGAGATTAAATTAATTGGAATTTAAATAAAGTCACTTCGCGCGTTTTTGTACGACATCGGATTTTCCAGAAGTTAGAAAAAAAACCACTAACGATTTTTCGCTCGTGAGATCATGTAAGTTATTTGTTTGTCTTATCTACATAAATGTAATTAAACAGTAGCATATTGATAAAGCATCTAATTTTCATTTTTCTTTGACAGGCGGAAAAGTTGCTGCGTTCCGAGAATCATCGGGAAACGGACGCGCGCGTGCGCACGCGGCTTGATATTTCCCGCGAGGCGCTTAGAACGCGGCATGAGTCGCCCGCACGGTCATTTCCGGTACTCTCTCGCGCAGGACAGACGCTCCGCGAGTGTGTTTTCGAGGCTCGGGTACCGATCTCCCGCGAGAGACATCCGCGTGTCAGCCGTGATTATAGCTCGACGTGCTGGGGATTCTCGTCGCGCGAGCGATCAGCGGACGCGCCCGACGAAGGCGTGATGCGCATTCCTCTCGCGACGTGTCCGACGAGCGCGGTTGTGTAAATAGCGCGTAGTGGTCGTCTGCGCACGCCCGGTGCGCATCCGCGGCCAGATGAGCGCGGGATCGCGCGGCAGCTAGACGCGAGGGTCGCGAGGCGCGGACTGTGTGGCGCGGGTGAGAAGGGGAGAAAGAGACGGAAAGAAAAGAAGAGCGAGAAACAGGCGGAGTGAGCCGCGGTGCTTGCGTTGCGGCGGTAGTTCGTTTATTATTTCGACGGTGCTCGAGTGAAGGCGTGAAGCGTTTTACGTCGAAGATTATCGACTGGCGTCGGTCGGAGTAAAAGGCGGCGTGATCACGCTCGATTCCGTGATGGACGGCCCGAACGTGAATGGCGGGAACGCCGCGGTACCGCGCGAGGATCCTAACCTCGAAAGCAGTGGCGGCGGCGACGGCGGCGGAGATGGTAGTGGTAGTAGTGCTGCTCCGGGTATTGATACGACCGTATCAATTGTCACCGTGTTAGACACGAGCGACAAGACAACGATTGGTGGTAATGGGGATACGCAGGAGATCAACGGTGAGCTCAAGGGTTCGCCCAGGAAGCACAGCACGCCCTTCCCCCGCAGGAAAATGAGGAAATTCAAGGCCAACTCTACGGGCACCATGGAGGTCGACTCGGCGGAGACGCCCGGAACGAAGGAACGCAAACGAAAGCTGTCGGAATATGAAGACGCCAGTTCTGAGGATTCGGAGGAATTCAATGGCTTCGATGCTCAGGGACTCGAACTTCAGCCTGGTAGTCATGTTTTGAAGAAACTCATTGGTAGGGTTTGTTGTGATCTCAGGATATTCTGGATTGTCAATTTATAATCACAAATATTCTACACTTTCATTTAGAAAAATTCAGAATTTAATTTTAGCTAAGTTGCTGGTTAAGATTACAAAATTTTAAATAATATTTAATTAGTTCTAAACAGTCTTTATATTTACTCGTGATATAAAGAAGATATTTTGTTTACGTATATATGTGGAATCTTGAAAAACTAAAGAAAACTAAGTTTAATTTAAAAATGAATAATATAAATTCTTACATATGTAAATTAATTTTAATTGTGATTTAACTTTTTTTTTAATATTGGATGCTAGAAAAAAATGAAAAGTAAATTAAAGAGATCAAAGTTATCAAGATCAAAGTATACCAAGATCAAAGTTATTCTATATTAATAGAAATAAATATATGTAAATAAAAATATTATACACTGTTAGAAAATTTGTGTATTTTTGTGAAAAAATTTGCTGGTTAAAATTTTTTATGTTAAATTTATATATTTGTATGTAAATTTAACATGTGTCTACTATGTTAACTGATCTTAACAAATATAAAATGTAAAATTATTAAAATGATTTAAAAAATGTGTTAAAATAACAATAATTTGTATGTATTTATTAAATATGTTAAAATTTACACAAAAAAGTATTGGTTTTACTCTATAACAGGTGGAGATGACTTGTTATTATTCTTGTATAGTTTCGACATAGTCTCGAATCTTGACGCATCGCAACATTTAGTGTTTTTTGTGTTTTAATGTTTTGATACAAGTACCAGAATTATTTCATCTATCTTTTAATAGATAAATCTTGTCATATATGTACATTTTTATTTTATTGCTATTATAATTTAATTGATATTATTTAATATAATTATCAAATATTTAATTAATATATCATGTATTTAATTAATATTATGTGAGTTATTGTTAGTTTAATTTTTTACTTGAGATTATAAATGCTTTCTATAACTTAAAAATATTTATTTTTTTTGTTGAGAAGTAAATTTAAGATTGTCTTTTTATAGAGTTTTTTGATATAAGCGACATTTCAAAATTTTTTCTATCATAATTTTGTAAAAATAATGAAGAAATAAAAACTTTTTAAACAAATAAATAGTGTAATTTGCACATATTATATCAATTAAAAGGTTGAGCAGTTACATTTATAAACTGTAAAAAGGACACTTCTTATGTGTTAATTTTATTATAAAAATTGTCTTAATTATAACACACAATTAATTTCAAATTAAGATCAAGAGTACATTTCTTTTTTGTTGAAATATTAACATAGTGTCGGTGTTACTATTTAACACATCCATATTAACATAAAATTTTTAGTGGACCGTTTGGAACATGTGATTTAAATTTAACATATTTTTTCCAAGTGTAATTAATTGTTTGACTATTGTTTTGTTTATAAAATAATATTTCTTCTTTTTAGGAACTCTGATAATTATAAATTTATTTTATTTCTATAGCTGAAGCAGAAATAGCAGAAGCACAACTTACAAAACGTATAAAATATTCAATGAGGACTATTGATATCAGAGAAAAGGATGATAATCAAGTTTTGGATGATATGAGAACGTATGTTTATGAAACGGACAGTTTTGAACATCTAGATATGACAAAGATTAAAAAAGAAAAGGAGTCCGATAAGTCGGAAACAGATTCAATTGATATACCAAATAGCATAGATTCTGAAATTGAGCCAAATAAAATTGATATAACGTCTATTAGATCGGTGAATTCCTCATCGGCTGCGAGTAGTCCTTCGGCAACGTCGCAGAGGTCAAAAGGTAGTCATGTTTCTGGTGGTGCCAGTCCAGGTGGAAAGCACAAAGCCCCTGTCGATATGTCAAATCCTTTGTATAAAGAGCCATTTAAGTATGGTTGGAAACGAGAATTAGTGTTTAGAGCTAGTCAGGACTCTTCTTTCAAAAAAATGGCTGATATATATTATTATACACCAAAGGGGAAGAAAGTTAGGAGTTTTAGAGAAGTTGCAGAATCTCGTAAGTAACATAAAGAAAAAATATACAAAATTGAATTAATTGTAAATGTATATTAAAATTATGATTTTTATTTCAGTTAATTCAAAAGAGTTGACTATTGATAATTTCACATTCTTTAAAGAACCTATTGGACTTAATGATCCTGAGAAGGAAGTTATTCGAGATGCTAAGAGATTTCGAGTATGTCTTCAATATGTCTTCGATGTTCTTGTGTTTAAGAGTTTTATCATTATAAAAATATCGCGATATAAATGATGTATTAAGCATTATTAGCATTTCGCTTCTAGAGAAGATTTGATATCTATTGGACATTACAGGGATCTATGGGGTCAGCAAAGAAGTATACTAAAAAAGCTACGCCAGTGAAGAAAACAGTACAAGAACCTGCAGCAAAGAAATTACCGGAACCTACACCGAAAAAATCATATGAACCTGGTACATCAAGAAAACAACCTGTACAAGAACCTCCCGCACCTGTACCCGCGGAAACTGTAAAACCTGTTCCTACACCTGTATCAGTATCTACAAAAGCAGCTAAATCGGTAAAAGCATCGGCGTCTCCAGCATATAAAGCAAAAACAATCACAAAGAAAACTCCTCAGATAAGTACGTTCTTATATCCGAAGATTTTATTTACGCTATTTTTATTTTCATTTTGATTTGAGGATATATAACATATATATGACAACATACAATTTATATAATATAAATTTTTTTATTATATAAATTTTTGTATCATTCAAATTTTGTATTCTTTATCGTTTACAACTTTAATGATTTTTAATAAGATATTTCTTTTTTCTCTTTTATTTTGTATCACAAAATCTTTATTAATTTATTTTGAAATTTAACAGAGATGAAAACACCGGCCGAAGAGAGCGAGATGCTTCCACCTCAGCGGAGTACAACAAATACAAGAAGGAATCAACATTCAACTGAAAAGATTATACCAGTTAAAACCAAAAGATTATTAACGTGAGTATTTTAATTATTTATTATTATTTTTATTGTAAGCTTTTAATGTTTCTATCAAGTATTATTGATCAGGAAGATAAAATCTGTGAAAGAAACAGAAAAAATTCTGGAAAGTCTATAAAAACAAAAATTTGAGATATTTAGAATCGTAATGTGTCTTTTAACTGAAATAAAAAAAATATTACAATAATACAATTATATATAAAATATAATAAAAAATTTTTTTGTTTTATTATTTTAAAGATAATGATTTAAAATTTTTATGTTATATAGTTTAATTTCTTTTTATTACATCATAGTTCGTTTGGCATAAGTAGAAAATATAAAAATATATTACTTACATTTTATTTTATGTCAAACGCAAAATTTGTTTTATATCCATAAATTTTATTGTATACTTAAATATAGAAATTAAAATATACGATTAATCATGTAGGATATAATTTTAAAATGCATGTAATATTACATGAAAGTAAATATTAATAACTTTGGATGAGAGAGAAGTTTGTTATATCTATAATTTTTATAACTATTTTTTCCTTTTATCCCATTTTATATGTCCTTAATGGGAATCTTGTGTTTTTTCCTGAATTCCTTTCCCCGCCAACGCACATCTTACAGGCCGAAAGTTCAAGAGCCATGCAGCATAAGATGTTCAACAAGTGTGGGATTAATACCAAGCTTGCAGTGTCGAGTTTGTCTATGTTTATATCATCCTGAATGTGTCGATGGCATGGAATTTGCAGGCAGTGATGAATATGTCTGCAAGGTAGGCTTATAGTATATTGTATAATTTCAGGAATTTTTCTCTCTTTAATTATATACCAAGTATCATCTAAGACTAAAAATGATCCAAAAATTTATGATACTTATACTTATATGATACTTATGACTATTATGATATTTATATAGAAATAAATATGTTGTAGAATTGTCAGCCGGATATTAAAGAATCTCATATGCCAAACAATCCATCTTTAACACCACCTCCGCTGATTCCAATTAGTATGTTAGGTACACAAAATGCTAAATCAAAACTCCAGACTAATTCGTCTCCTCCAAAATTGCAAAGAATTCTAAAGTCTGACGGAGCGGACGCGCAAACAAGAAATTCTTTCAAAACTACTAAAATATCCTTAAATTCGTCCTCAAATATAGACAAGAAAGAAAGTACTTGGTTTCCTCAAACGGAAAATGAATTTTTACAAAGTCATGATGGTACTATGCCGAAACCGGCGCAAAATATTGCTTTAATGGGTGGTAAAAGATATATCGTAGTACCGAAAAATAACGCAATGGCTGTTCAACCGGCTATAACAGTAAAACCAGACAAAATTGGTGATAAGCCGCCAATGCTTCAAGATGGATCACTTACTGACATTTCCAATACTGCGGATAATTCTGTGGCTAAACTATGTACTCCTCCATCTTTAAATACTGACTTATCTCACGAAAAAACAGATGTTACATCTGACAAAGATATTTCAAAAGATAAGATTCATCAAACAGATCTTGTATCTTCTCTTACTACCGAAATGGCTGAGACACTTATATATGATGATAAAGACAAAGAAAGTAAGAATACTCCTGAAGGAGATCAGCCAACTGAAAATATATTAGAAAACAAATCTTTCACTGCCAATATAGATTATGTTCCAGAAAAAGAAAAGGCAGATATAAATTGTAAATCACCTAACAATAAATCTGTTTCTATACCGGTACACGTGGCAAATATTACAAGTGCTCTTGAAGAAAATGCTGAACCGATTAAAACAGATCATCAACAGTCGTTGTCAAGTAAAGCGAGTACAATAATAAAAGTTAAAAATATCAAGTAAGTGTATGTGCTTCAAACACATAGGCATTCTTGTTTCGTTCCTTATTTAGAATATTTTTTTAAATAATTTAAGTTACGGCAACTCTCTTTTTGAGGTTTTTGGCAGTTGCTTTGTGTACATATTGTATTTACAAAGTTTATAGATACTCTTTCTATAATCATTCACGCTTCAACTGATTATATAAAAAATGTTATATTTTTTCTTTTTTTATGTGCAAAGCTTGATTGTACACTAGATTTTACGTTGTAAAACATTTTAGGTTGTATATTAGAGTTTTATTTTATATGGCAACACATGACAAGACATTTTATATTGTAAATTATCAATTTTATATTGTAGATATGTAAAATATGATATAAAATTGTAAATGCAATATATGTATATACATATATACTGATGTTTATATATTTGGAAATATAAAATTGAATGTTAAAAATGAATTTGATTTTATCTTATGACCGAAGCACTGCCTTAGCTTCTTAGAAATACGGCCAAATTTACAACAGATGTAAGAAACGAAAAGCTGCACCTGTTGGTTCTCACGGTATTTTATGTAATTGTAGTATCAAGGTAAATTGATTTTTACAATCACTAGTTTTACTCGATATTAAAATGCACATTTATGTATAAATATGAATATTTTTTTTTTACATTCATGCTGCAATTACAAAACCACTAATAAGTGCTTCAGTGGGAAAAAATCTAATTCATTTTTACTTTTTATATTTGCAGATATAAAGACATGTGTGCGAGCTGAAACAAAAATTCTTAGTGCGTTTTCCTATAAATTCTCACAATCCCATTTCTCCAACTCCATGTCCTTTTTATTTTTGTATTTCTTAATCTTGACCGTTATTACTTTTTTGCTAGGAATATGAAAATTTTCTATCAGATTTTGTTTCGGAGATTTCTTATATCGAAAATTATATAATAAATTATATAATAAAATTATATAATATATAACAGAAATAACTTAGTTGACATGCCTTTATACATCTTTCAAAAAAAAAAGTTCTTTTCTTCACTTTTCATATTTTTATTTCATTCAAATAGAATAAATTGTCTTTTTTATATAATATGATAAACGTTTTTTATAAATGTAATTAGCATTAAGTATTTGTCTCTAAAGCATGTGTTTCTTTCAATATTTTCAGGAGGAAGCAAAACCAACAGGAATTGGAGCAGCAGCAAAATTTCATGAATTCAGTTTGCGCCGGTTATCACGCTTTATTGCGCATCTTCCAATACCTTAAGGTCCAAGAGTTATTGCGAGCCGCGAGAGTTTGTAAAATGTGGCGTGATCTCGCTGCGCATCCGTCTCTGTGGAAAACCGTACGGATGAAGAATAGTCAGGTAACCGATTGGGATGGTTTGGCGGATACATTACAAAGACGTGGTACCCAGCATCTGGATCTCAGGAAAATGTTAGTTGCTGGCGAATCTGATAACATTTGGAAGAAATTCTTGACTGTCATACCACGTGTGACGAGTCTTGTGAAGCTCGAATTATGCAGATGTCCCGTTGTAGTTGTTGAAGAAGTTATTAAGAGCTGTCCTCAATTGGAAGTATTTAGTGCAATGTCGATCAAGTGCGATTCCCTCACATTGGAATCGATCGGGAACTTAAGTCGATGTCAAGAACTCAGATTAAAAGCAATAACTGGAATGTCGCTACAACAAGATCTTACACCTCTGCAGGACCTAAAACACTTGACGCAATTGGTAAGAATTCATCTTTCCAACATGATTTTTATTAAGATATTTATATTTATTTATCATATTCAATTACAAAAGTATGTAATAATGTCTCTTATTTATGCAGAGTTTAACATCAGTTAAAGAACTTGGAAAGAAGAAGATTGACATTATACAAACGTTGACAAATTTGGAGACGTTAGAGTTAGGCGAATGTTCTGACTTCCCCGATAAGTTTGGAACTACCGTTTTAATTAAATTGAATAAATTGGAACGTCTCCGACTTGAAAAAGGTCAAGGATCCTGTTGTACGTTTGATATCCTTGAAGGCGTATCGAAATTACAGAACTTGAGCCAAATGGAATTGGTGAATTTCGATGTGAAAAATGGTTTCGATAAATGCCTTGCTAATTGCAAAAACATCAAGAGGCTATTGATCATACCGACTTACATATCCCAGTCGGCAACATCCAACAATATGGTGCTTGGCGGTGTCACCGAATTATCAGACAACTTGACGCATTTTATATGGGGTGTTACGCTCGAATTACTTAGAGTTACGGAACTGTTTGTTGATCAGTGCAACCTCATGAGTAAACAGGTTACTGGAGATTCTATACCAGTTTTAAAACCTGTCCCCTGTTTAAGATTAATTGAGGATGTCGAAGATATGAACGAAAATCAAAAAGGTATATATTGAGAACCAATTACAATCGACTAACTAATTAACATATTTCCATAAATAATTTTTATTATCATGTATATTACGAGTTTTTATTTGATTGAAATTTGCAGGCGATGACAAGCAACAGCCACATCTAACAAGTCCACAAGTCGACATTTTACCATTGCCACAACTTCAGAAACTCCTTTTAACCGCATTACCCAAGACACGGGTCAAGATCTTGAAAATTCCTTTTCACGCCACGTGGCGACAGAGCATTTCCGATACTACCACGCAGTAGAAACTAACAAGGTGATACTGGTACGGAGTCGAATGAAGCAAATAGAATTAAAATGCCGTTGGAAATTTTTGTAAAATTAACTATATAGTGTCCGTGCTCCTATATATCTACTATTTTTTGGAAAGGAAAATAACTTATATATTTATGTACTATGAGTTTTATAATCTTCAATTAATAATCTTTCGCAACGTATCGGTACACACTGCGGTATATTTAGTATTTTTGTGATAAATACGCGGGACCACGTATCATACACCATCTTTTTGCCACGAGCAAAATGATACAACATGTTGGTATCCTTGTACGGGTTAATTTAATCAAATAAAAAAATTTTAACTTTTATATATCACGATTTTATTTTCTCGTGCATGAAGGAAGTGAAAACAGTGTCGATTTATACTATCGAAGTTGCTGTGATGTGTACCTGCGTTGAAAGTAATCTGAAAAGATTACGTATAAATATGTGAATTGTGTTTTGGATTCTTATGATAAGAAATTAATGTTTATAAAATTACGTATTCATTAATAAGGAAAATATTCGAGCGCAGTAAGAATCGTTTTATTCAATTCCCATAGAAGTATCGATCTTCATTTGGGATTCATCTGTAAGACATCCAGTATCGAAAGTAGTTAGAATTATAATTTCACTTTATATAACATCGATCTATTGGAGTAACAGAAAGTATGAGATCGCGTGATCTGTACGGCTCTATTTAGAGATTAGAAAAATGTATAAAATAATATTATATACATATTATATCGTATCGTATTTGTATCTTTTAATGTTTAGGATATGAGTTTTTCGCTGCAAAGAAAACGGCAAAATCTGGGGTAGTATAGAACGTGTAATATACTTATTTACTTATTGCACAATACATAATCAAATGTAACATTACATGAGGAGATATTCATTGATCGATATGTATCGAGTACAAAATGTGTATAACTGTAAGTTTCCAATAATGACGACTTCTATACTCTTAAAGAGGCACAACTTATTTCTTTGCTTTGATGACCCTGGCATTATCTTCTCTAAAAAATATGTATTAGAACATGGAATGGGGAGGGGGGGGAGAAAAGAGATTTATATTTTATACTATAAGAGAAATACAACATGTTAGAGTTATACTAAATTTACGTTTTAAGTGATAATATAAAATTGAATATTATTAAAATTATGTTGTAAGCAATGCCACCGTAATTCATTTTACAGACAAACCCTATACACATATATACTCATACACATTCGTATTGTTTCACATTTTTTTCCTAGATTCTGCCTAGGAAACATTTTTAATTCTGTATGATTAATATTTTTATACAAATGTCTTGATTATGATTTATTTCTATTTCTTGAGTGTTTTATGAGTTTTTATCTTTTGCTTTGCAGCGCGAAACTTTAAATATTTGCTATGTTTTATATTATGTATTGTTTTGATACATTTTGTCCATTTTTTTTTAAAATGGATTTTTATATTCATGATTATGTTCAAATCATGATTATATTCAAATTACGCGTATAAACAAAAAATAGTTTTTATATCAATGTGATTTGTATAAATTGGATATTTACATTGATTTAAGAAAAAAATGTTTTCCTTTTAAATATATATTGTATACAATATATATATATATATATAATATGTGTATATATATATATATATATATATAATATATAATATATATATAAATATATAAATATAATTTACAATTGAAAATAAATTTACACACATGCACCACACATACAATAGTATACATTATAATGCACAACATGGTAATGCTGAACATAGGCCATACATATTTATATTTATTTAAATAGCAATACACAATTTATATAATTAATATACAAAACGTGAATCACACAAAGAAGTTTATATAAAGAAAAAATTCAACACAAGCATATTACTCTATAATAAATCGATATATTCATAGCATAAATCTAATCTTCGCAGAATAAACACTAAAGTGACGAAACGCGCGTGTATGAACCGTGTTCATAAATTATGTAATATCGGAATTAATCTTTCGTATACGCATAGATAAAATATCTGTCATAATAAAGTATTCACAGTATAGATATCGAGATTCGTGTCGTCCGATCCTGGAATTGTCTCGGACGGAACACGGTGAACATGATCGAGGGCAATTCGGCCGGCTCTCCGGTAGCCATGAAAGTAGGTGACCTCCCGGCGGAGAGATTGGAAAATCAATAGACCGCGACGCGGCGGGAGCTGACGAGAGTCGCGGCACGCGGGGATCGCGCTTTTTCGAGGTTATGTCGCGCGTAGATTTCGACACCCGAGACCGCGACGCACCGCTGGCGGCCCGTACGTGCTATTTTCGTTGCGGCGAAAACCGTTTGTTCTCGCTGGGCGCCGCGCGTTACGCTTTATAATGCATCTGAATGCGAGGGAGAGCCACGAGAGCGCCGTGAGATAGTAGACAAAAATGGGCAGAAAGAAGTCTCACGTATCGTCCAGGGGTAAACAACCGGGTCCATCACCGCAACAGAGGCATATATCCGCGGCGAAGAGGAACGAGCTCAATGTCCTGTGCGAAAAACTTTTTCATCGTGAGTATTCTTACACGTCGACTCTCTCTTTTTCTCTCTCTTTCTCTCTCTCTCGACGTGTCGGAGGGAGGACTCTTGTATTCTTCTCGAGAAAGATTTGGCGTTGCTCTGATTATGTTCATGTTTATTAATTTTAATCTCGGTTTAATTCAGTTTGTATTGTTTTTTAATTCAAAGTAAAATTAAAAAGGAAGATAAAAGTAAGTCAAATTTACAGTTAATCTTGGTTTATAACTACTTGGTTTATATTTTTTATTTTTTTTATAATTTAGAAAAAGATAAAGAATAAATTAAATTGAGATTAAAATCAATTTATATTGGTAGAAATGAACTCTAGTAACAAATAAAGATTTTAGAGGATTCTTTTAATGAGAAAAGAAGAATAATTCTTTTTATATCTTTTTACAAGTATTTTACAGTGTTACATTTTATTTTTACATTGCATCCAACTGTTGGAATCTGTTGTAATGATATTCAGGAAATTATTTGTTTTTACATGTCATGATATGTTTACAGTGAGCAGCAATCCAGCATATGTGACGCAATCATGGAACAACTACTTGGATATATCAGAAGTTCTGCTGAAGGTTAAACGACTGGAAGAGATGAAGACGGAATCGTCTCAGCGATCCCAAGGGATTGGACAATTCATGGATTGGCTGATAGAGAATGGGGCACACGTGGATAACTTGAGCATCGCTGAATTTTCAGGGTATGATCTGGGACTGAGGGCAGAGACCGATTTTGCTGAGAGCCAATTGATCCTGGAGATACCTAGGACACTTATATTCAACACATACACCGCAGCGCCAGAGTTGACTGTTCTGCAAAATGACCCGCTGGTGCAGCATATGCCGCAAGTAGCGTTGGCCATAGCGCTTCTCATAGAAAGGCATAAGGAGAACTCCAAATGGAAGCCTTACCTAGATATGCTTCCAAATAGTTACAACACAGTTTTATACATGAAGACCAATGACATGATCGAGCTAAAAGGCAGTCCCACATTAGGTACATAAAAAATTCATTTTTACAAATCTTATTTTATTCCAGATATACATTAGTTATAACTGACATGGAGTACCCATCCATGTATCGTTTATTTTTGACAGAAATATAAAATATAGAATATTTTTATCTCAAATTATTTGTGTTTAAATAATTTCTTGCAGTCTTTGGTCTATATTGTATAGTTTTTAATTTCTTATTCTTAGATTTATTCTATTTTTGTGCAGAGGCTGCATTGAAGCAATGTCGGAACATCGCGAGACAATATTCCTACTTCAACAAAGTATTTCAAAATACCAACAACGCCGTCTCTGCGATCCTTAAAGACGTTTTTACTTACGAAAGATATTGGTGAGTACTTAAAGAAATTATGATTAATTTTAAACAAGGTTAATAGGTAATCACAAATCGATCAAAAAATTCAAATAAAATTTACAATTTTATGTATAAAATTTAACTCTTACAACATATATATAAACCTATAAATAAATACGTCTTATATTCTATGCGTGGAATTCAGCAAAATAGTTAAGCAATCTTATGATGAAGTAGCGGACGCCCGATTACATGTTGCGGTGATATAAAAATAAATGAGATAAAAAATTCTATTAAAGAATAACTTAACGGCATATTTTAATCGCAATTTTTTTCGTTTGTATATCGGTTTGTATATCGGTTAATCTTAATTTAGAAAATATACACTATACTAATTTAGAATATATACACCTATGGAACTGGTTTATTTCCTTCTGAATAATGCGACAAGTAAACTTAACGATCGATGTAACTCTCGCTAAGGACATTCAATCAGCCTTCACGGATATATAACTCATCCTTGATAAGTATGCGAAAATACTGGCAGTTTTCTATTAGATTGGCGCAAAAGTTTTGCACATGTCCCCTCTAATTATCTGTTTCAAATAACAAATAACAAACATTTCGAAAGTAAGATCAAGAAAATTTTTAAATGGAAAAGCGATATTAGAATTTTGTAATAATTTTGTAATAATTTTACAGCAAACATTGCTATGAAATTAATAATTAAATTAAAAATAATTAAATTAAAATTTTATTAGCATAATTCCGTTCTGTTTATGTCGCGTGTTTTACTTAATAAATAAGGCTGATATACGAATCTTCTACACCAAACTAATAGACTAATCGTGCAATAGTGCCGACGAATTATTTCGCGTAATCGGGTATCGTCTCCCAACTGTCGTTAGCGTCTAACGAATCGTTATCCATGTCGCTCTTGCCGTCAAAATCTTCCGCAGCCTCTTGCGTCTCCGCTCTTTCGGGCCTCTTGGTCGTCGACGTGGCGACGACGTTCACCATCACGGCGCTCAGGCTGCTGGAATTCGACAGCTTCCTTGCCGCCAACATCGGGCCTTGGAACACCGCGCGGGAAAACGTGTTTCTGTACGTGTACTTCTGCTTCTGCCGAATTCGGCATACGACGAAGATCGCCAGGAACACGACGATCGTCACGCCCAGTATCGCGCCGCTCGCTATTATGCTCGGCTTCACTTTCGACAGGGTCTTCCTCTCCTCCCCGCTGTTCATCCCGCTCATCGTCTCGCCGTAGACCGTTTTTATGTCGACGGTATTTGGTTCCTCCTTCACGATCTCCTCGACGTATCCGGCGTGGAACTCACTGGAGTTGTTCGATCGAAGAGTCTTCTCCGCCTCGTCGATAACCACTACGCTCGTCTTATCATCGTCCATCGGAAGCTTCACTTTCGACTCGCCCTCATTGTTGTCGACTTCACTTTCGAACTGCCTCTGTACGTCCTTCGCGAAAGGCAAGGAATCAAACGTCGTCAGTAAATCGACGATCTGCATCGTTTGACGAGGATTCTCCAGCTGGTCAGTATTCTGTTCATTGATATTTCGCGTGTCGTTTTCTGGACTTTTCGTTTCCCGCGGCGTGTCTCTGTCCTGCTCGACGAGATCCAACAATTTCGACATCGACATGTTCTCCGCGTCTTTGCCAAAGAGTGGATCCTGCAAGTAGCTCATGATCTCTTTGAATCGATTCATCGCCTCTTCCGTCTCCTGCCTCGCACCTTCTTTCTCTGCGATCTTCGTATCCGTGTTGAAATATTCCCTGGACCTGTCCGTTGAGGAGAATGCTGTGACGATCTCTCCGTTGTTCGTGTTGGAGGTTTCGAGGGTTTGATGGTTCCTCGGCTTGGACATCCTGAGTTGCGACACCTCCGTCAAGTGGACCTTGCTGGAGCCCCTTTGACGCAGAGCTATCAGTTCCTCCACGCTCATGTTCCTCGACTTGAGAAGACGTTCCAGTCGCTTGCCAGCCGAGCCGGACGCGAATAACTCGAAGATCTCCGCTCGCGCCTCCGGCTCGATCTCGGAGACGACCTCCTCGTAGCGCCTCGTACCTCGATGGTTCTCCAACGCGCGATCGCGAGTTTTTTCTCCCAACGATCGATCCACCTGATGATACTCCGTCGAGTGATTCTCGTCGTGTAGCGTCCTTCTATTATCAGGCGGAGTCGCTGTTTGCCTCGTCTCGATCTGCTCCGCAACAGCAACAGTCTTGGGATAGTTCGTGTCGTCCTTTATCCCGCTTTGTTTTCCATCGTCTTTGGGATTTTGAGCGTCGTTCTGATACTCCTCGACGAAAGTGTAATTGTAATCCTCCGCGGAGGGCTCGATGGAAACCGATCGCCCGTTATCGCCTCGATTCGATTTTCTATCATTATTGTTGCTGTCGATGTCGTCATCCCGAACGTTCTCACGATCCTCCGCCTTCTCGATCCGCTCCGTGGGATTGAGAATCTGCTCGATGCTCAAAGTGGACTGGGTGTCGCGAGACGCCCCCTGTTGCGGGATGAGCCTCTCGCTCGGCGGGCTCTGGCCTTTCTTGAAATCCATGAAGTCCGAAAATTCCATAATCTCGTCCTCGTCGAGGCTCTCGAGCCTCATCGCACGGTCGCTCGTCGATCCCGCATTACCGTCGTCGTTCAGGAAATACTCGGCGGAGTTTATCGCGATCGGCGACGACGTCGATGTGGTAATCACCGTCGAGATGATCGGAGGAGTGGTCGGCGCTCTCAACCACGAGGAATCGTGTGCGGATTGCGTCACCTCGGCGTCATCTTCCGCTGATTTTTCTCTAACGCGACTCGTATTGCTCGTGGAAGCTTCCACGAGACTCCTCGAGGCTTCCTCCGTGGCGATCGTCATTCGAGGTACCGAGTTACTCGGGATCGTATTCGAAATTGTGACTCTTGCCGTGGTACTTTCCGGCGTCGCCGATGGCTGCGTGGATCTCCAGGGTGGCGTCACCGTCGCGGCGAGCTTCATCAGCGAGTCGGACATCACCCTGGACATTTCCTCGATGTACTCGTCGGACTCGTCGGCGATCCTCGATTTCAGGGCGTTGATCACGTCGCTCTTCCCCTTCAGGAGATCGCTCAGGGTCAGGTTCCTGCGCTGCAGAATCTCCGACAGGCTCGAGCCCTCCTCTTGCTGCATCTTCAGAAGCGACTTCAGCTCGAGCGCATTTTCCCGCTCTCTGTCGGACGATTCCGTCGTCGCCGGATGGTTCTCGTCGTTCCTCAGCTGTGGAAGTCGAGGGGAATCCTCGTCCCCGTCGTTCGAGGCCGCCTCGTTCGCCAGGGCGAACTCGTAATTCTGCGGCGGTCGCCTCTTCCTCGGGCGAGGCCTCAGGTACTCCTCGTCGCTGAATTCCTGCTCGTACTCGTTGGGACGCGCCTGGAAGGCCTCGCGATACCTCCAGGTGGCCTCCCGGTCGTTCAACGAGCCGTCGGCGATATTACGACCGCGTTTCCCGTTGTTGCTCGCCGCACCGTCGATCGCCTCCTCGTAAAATGTTGGACTCTGCGAATTCTTCAACGGACGGCGTCTCTTGCGCGGATAATCTTCGTCGGGAATCTCGTAGTCCCGACTCCGGTACGAGGCTTCGTGCTCGTAGTCGTCCAGAAGCCCAGGAACTCGTCTACTCGGATTCTCCCGAGGACGATTCGGTTGATCGATCGAGTAATGGTACTTGAACGGTCGACGACTCGTCTCCGGGAAACTCTCCTGCTCGACATCCTCGACCTCGTCCCTCGCGTAAGACCGGTAATGAGAGAACGGTAGCAGAGGGACGGAGTCGCCGTCGCGCCACTTCGGCTCGAGAGCCTCGCCATTATTTCTCCATTTGCCTACAGGAGGCTCGCTCGATCGTTCGCGATCCTCTGCGGAACTTTGTGGCGCTTCCGCATCGTCGAACTGCCCACGCGGCTCCGCCTGAAAAAAATTTCCTAAGTAAATTTCTTAACTAACTCGAAATTTTTTTTCGTAAGTTTCTCTGACACAAATAATAATATAAATAAAATTATCATACGTAAATTGTTAATGATCAGCCCCTTGTGTCTGCGCGACGTCAAACGTGAACGAAGAGATATTTTAACATTGAAATCTCTCTCGTGCTTTTATAATACAGGGTATCATATAATGTAATCGATAAATCGGATATACGATACTACTCGTTTCGTAAGATTATTAATCTTAGTTTTTTATTTTAAATAATTTCAAGTGTTCCACAGCGAATAATTGTTTCCTACATTGGAACAAGTTTCCGTTCAATAATATTTAATGACCGTGTTTGAGGAATAAATATCGTTATTTCACGAATCTTACGAGAGCAAATTAGCTGCGACTATTTGCCACTTATCGAAATCGCGCGCAAGGATAAAATTAAACTTGGGCAAATTGCGATTCGTCATAAGTCACGCGGGAAATCGTTGTTAAACGAGGCATACCATCAACGGTGAACAACGGTAAAGGCCAACGACCATAACGATAGAAAGTATTGAGATGTTTGTAACGCTTTACAAATACCATCACGAAACGTTTATATAAATTGCAAGTTGAATATTCCACCGGAAAGATTATATAGTTTTTTTTTTTTTTTTTTTTTTTAAATAAAATTGCAGTGTTCAACAATTTGCACTGAAATTTAGAAATTTAGAGTTTGCTCATGATTGGAGGAAGAGTCGCGACTTTCGTGATTCACTCGCGTCCCCGATGTACGTAACCCCATTTACGAAAGTTTCTAGATTGAAAGGACATTCGTTGAGTTTTAGAAAATTCTCGGTGTTACCATTTTCATAGAAAAAGTCGTGTTTCGCGAGCTAACAGCTCACCGCGGAAGCACGCGTCGCGAGCACATGAGTCTTGCGCACATATCTCTCGATTATTCGTCGGGATCTTCTTCATGCTGAAAGCGGAGATTCGGCGATTTCTCGCTTTTACTTTCGCAAGCCGGACGCGCGCGCGTGAGAATGTGCGAAATAGAGAGCCGCGTGTGATTCTTCGCTCGAAGATGCTTTTCCGTTCTCGTTTCGCAGAAACAATCCTCCTTTACCCTTTAAATTAATTCACCGTTGAATTTTGTCGCGAAGTAACTCGGATTATAAAAATTAAATTAAAATTAAAGACTTGACTAATTTGTCTCGTTGTACATCTTATTCGTTCGAATTTGGCCTACTAATTCTTTCAGTTTGCTGCTGCAGAACAACATATTATTAATTTTATTTATTTTTTTATTTAAAATTACATTAAATTATCGTTCGCTTACGGATGATTAAAATAATTTACGTGCGAATTCAAAACATTCAAGTTTTTATATTTATCTTTTAAATTATTTTTATTATATTTAATATTTGTAATTGTATTAGAGATTTATTTACTCGCTATAAGCGCAAAATAAATTAAGCTCAATGGCGCCTTCATTAACGAAATGTATCATTACGCTGTTAAAGTATCCGTGCATTAGACGATGCTCGACGGATCGAACATAAGCGAGCCATTGTGAGGTTTCATAAGCGGGCGTTAGCTCAATCGGCTCATTAGGCGTTATATTAAAGCATTTCGTAACTTCATTAATACAAAATTCCGTGCTTTCGCGGATGATTTTCACTTCGCTTTCTCGCCGCAAAAAAAAGACGCGCGCGCGTTCCCATTTTCCACGGTCCAATCTCGCGAACCACGTGGGAAATTATTCGCAATTGCTCTCCCGCGAGTAAACGGAAATCACGGGAGAATAATTTTAATTTCCGTGACTCGTCGTCGTATTCCGTTTGCTCGAGTCAACGATCGAGAACTCCTCGGATTTGTCGTCGACTTTCTTGGGCGCTAAGTTTCAATCTCGGGCGAATCTATCCTTTTATTTTCCATAGTAAACAACGATTAAATTTGTAATTGTATGTTTTCTCCAGTCCTTTTTGCTTTAGGCAAGCGGTTTTTACCATCGGACACGAGCATTTTCCGCCTCTCTCCTTCTTTTTCTGGCGAAGGCCGGACTTCGCGCTGGATTTCGTTTCTCGCGCCTTCGGGCTCCGGAGATCCGGCGAAATACGCGACAAAATGCTCGTAAAGTCTCGAACTTTCCGCGCGCGATGCCAGCTTTCTCTTTCTCTCATGGTTTACGCGCGAGTTTTCTCGTCGCAGCGCATCGATCTCGCAGCCAGGCGCATCGATGAAAAATCCCGGATGGAAAACTCCGCTCCGCCAGAAAGCGATCTCGATTCCGCAAAATACAACGGCGGATAAGGGAGATACAAGCAGATAGGGGAGATACAAGCCTACTCGGAAATCGCGGACTTTCCCTGAAAGTCGTTATAAACGGTAGAAGAATGAGGTCCATTTCGATGTTGAGATATCGATACTTTCCGTGTGTTCACGGGGAAACTAGTGATTTACGCTTCAGTGGATCTTATTTGCCAAGATTTTAATGTTTGAAGTAAAAGATACGTGATACAGATACGTGAAAAAGTCAGCGTTAAATTCGTCAATTCGTCTCGTTGATAATAATTATATCAGGAGAGAAAGAATAGAAGTTTTGAGATAACTAAAACTATAAATCGTAACATAAAATAATTTATCTAAAGGTTTTTTTAATTATTAAGTTAGCCAATAAAAGCTGTAAAATATAAAGATATTAACAAATCAAATTTTGTAAAAAATTTTGAGATTTTTGTAAAAACTGTAATCACAGGTATCACAAAAAGGTGTCTAGCGAAATTTTTATATCTGACGCGCGAATGAGAAAGATTTTTAACATCCTGTACCTAAGTTGAATCATTCAAGTTTAACGACGCCTAATGAGCGCAATTACGGCGGAACTTATGGTTGAACCTGTCACCCGCGAACGTCACGATTGTTTTGCAATCGACATACGTGCATACATATTCCCGCCCGACATAGAATCATTCAGAGGCACCGCGAAACGTGACGAATGTTCTCGCGTAGAAATGTCACAAAATTTCACAATCTACCAGTTTTTGCGAAAAATCACAACCGGTTAAAAGCGTCAGAGATACAACTTTCGGCTCTGCCGCGATATAATACGGACATTCACCTTGTTTTGCGTCTAAAACGCTTACTCCGAACAAATTCCTTCACGCTAAAATCGATGAGATATTCAGAATCGAATGTTAACATCATTTCCTGTTAAGATAAAAATCGCTCGTAGAAGTCTGGAAAGATAAAATTCTGTAAAAAAAAAAAAAAACTTGTTCTATAATATCGCGCGTGCAAAATTTGTTTTCGTCGATTTTAAAATTAATCTTGATTTAAGTTTAAAAATAAAATTCTTTAAAAAAAAACTCGTTTTACAATGTCGCACGTGCAAAATTATGATAAATTTAACTTATTTTCGATTTTAAACTCAATCTTAAAGTTTAAATTAATTTTTCGATTTCCGATTGTTTTCATTTGTATCTTTGATCGATCGGAGGGATTCTTATGTTTCATAGAAATTCCTGTGCACATGATATTTTGTTTATTCGAAAGCATTCTTGTTCGCTAGTTTGTATTAAAATTAAATTAAAATTACATTAAATTATTATTCTTCCGCGATGGTTAAAATAATTTACGATGTGAAATTCAAGTATTTTTATATTTATCTTTTGAATTACTTTTATTATATTTATTTATATTTAATATTTGTAATTGTATTAAAGCTCGCTGTAAGCGCGAAATAAATTAAGATTATTTTCAACGGCGGAACGCTCGTTGGGGCGAAAAATAATCTCAAACTTTTTACGATTACCTGATACTCGTACTCATCGCTCCGTCCCGCAGCTTCCGGTTTCCTCGCGGGATCGCCGTGGACCAGAATGTCGCGCGAGATGTCACACGCGAATGCGATTAGCGCGAGCACGGGGAACACCTTCCGCATAGTTACAGGCCGATCAGGAACCTCAATGCCTCGTCCTCGCGACACCGCGCTCCTCCTTCGCCGATACGACACTTCACCGCGTCGCCGCTTCCGATGAGATGCACATAAATTGCCGCGGCGCACAGAATCACAAAGATCGCGTTCTTCCGATTGCACAAACTTAAAATCCCCTCAAGAACCATGCAGACGAACGTGCACTCGATCCTCCAAAACCGTCGGAATCGAGATAAATCGAGATTTAAATCACAGTCGATAGAACAATTCTAGAGTTCACTCTTTTCGTACCACGATTTTGCAGGAGGCCACTAAATAAAACAAAAGAAAAAAAAAAATTTCTACTCCATCGTGTAGCACTTTTGCTTATCAGCGATTGTTGTTCGACTTTGACAACAAACTCCAAACTCGGGAAGTACTCCTTTCGCTCGCAATCTGCCCTTCGTACTCTCCCTCACTTTGTCAGTTTTTTTTTTTTAATCAGGGATCTAAAATTCCATCAGAGGAGTTCCCTCTCGGTCGGGCGGAGGACGTCGCGTTCGATGGACCGTTTCTCCATCTTCGATTCCCGCGAGAGAGAAGCCAGATTCTCAGCCCGTGTCTCTCCGCTCCGTGCGATGCGAAACTTTCGCGCGAAACTCTCAACGCTCCGTCTGCGTTCTCGGCAAATCGCCCCTGCGAACTGACGTCGCTTTTCTCCGCGCGCGCTCCTAAGTAAGCCGGTGAAACTCGAGAGGAGTAAAAGAGTCTTCCTCCGCGGGTCTCTTCTACTACCTACCGCTGCCCGCCCGCCCGCCCGCCCGCCCGCTCTCGACGGGATGCTGCTGCTCCCCGGAGAGAAGCCGGAGTTGATGAATTCCGGTAATCGTCACACGCAAGCCGGACGATTCGAACGTCCGAAGAGGCGCTATTCCGAATTAGGAAGCGTGTTATTTCACGCCGAGCGTCGCGAAAAAGGAAAAACGTGACGTCGGAGAAAGCCCCGCGTTCACGTTACACGGTGAACATTCAATTGAGTGTCAAAGAAGCCTGATATTAAAATGGAATATTACGAGCGTTACGAGTCGCGAGGATTACTTTTTTTTTTTTTTTTTCCGGGTAGTATATGCGAACTCGGTATGCGAACTCGATATGCAAACTTGATACGGAAGCTCGATATGGAACGCTCGTGTTCCCATCGGTAACGCCGCGATGGGAGGAAGAGAAGGCTGTGGGCTCGTGAAAATTACGACTCGGGAATATGTGTCTCGCGTACGGTGAAATAACCGCTATCGGCGGTGTAAAAGAAATGTAAATGGCTCGTGATATAATGATCGAGGCTCGATAGAGGCTGTTAATTCACTTGTTAATATCTCAATTATATTATCGGTACGTTTATCACGGATCGGCTTGGAAATCCGCGGCGGAGCTCACATGGCGAGCGTGGTGAGATGGGAGAGAAGGAGGAAGTCGTTAGATAGCCGAGGCTAAAAAAAAATCTTGTTAACGCAAATGCCACGTGCGTATATTTGTCACCGCGAACCTTCAATTGCGATAAAACTCGCGGGATCTCACGCGGGCTCTCCTCGCGCATTTCTCCGCGCGTTAGACACACGACAATAAACTACGCGAAGTGCGGGTATTAATTTTGCGCGATAATATTCATGTATCCGTTATTTTTTTTTTTTTTTTTTTTTTTTTTTTTGAATTCTCAAACGATTCTCTACGATATTTCACGTGATATTAAATATAAGATCGAAGTATCCGCCGGAGCGGCGGGGCGAGAGGCGAGGGGAATCGCGTCAATCGCCGATTTAATAGACATTACGACATTACGTGTCATGATCGGCGAATGCGAGCATAAAACTGGAAAAGTGTGTCGATCGTTTGCAACAATAGGCTATGCAAACTATCGTTTTACGCGTAATTTACGTAGACGATACTTATAATAGCCCCGTGATTTCTCCTCCTTTCTCCTCTCTTTAAAATGATACGTTTAACGTTAAGAAATTTGGAACGTAATTTATAATGATTTCCTGAAAATTACGGTATTATTCTACGTTCTGGCGAGCGGCACGAGGGCCTTAACATCGGCGGGCGGTGCAACGTCTAAATTGACGACGTTTATATTTACCTTTCGTTAATTTATTTAATTCTTTTGTCCAGTCCACTGTACTTTTCTTGCTCTCTTGTACTTTCACAAGAATTTTCATTTGAAACGGCGAGTCATCTCAAAGCGAGAAACGAGCTTCTTTCTCATAGCTCTCGGGTTACTGTTACGCGGGAAGAATTTCAGTTGGTCGCGCGAGAGATGAAATCTCTTGTCTCTCGAAAGAGAGCTCGCGTGTGAATCCGTTATTTCTCGCGGAAAGTTTGTATCAATTATCGCATTATGATGGCTGGTTATATCCACAGTGAGTAGCTCGCGATTAATACGTAACGCGACCGAGCAAAATTAACGAGAGTTTCCATGGCGGATGAGAGGTGGCTCTTTCGCTAATGAACCTACAGTAAAGCAATAACGACATAACGACAATGACGAGGACAAGGATAATGACGAGGCGGCTCTTTCGCAATTCATCGCGGCGCAGATAGACATCGAAGCCGGCTGCATTGTCTTAAGCTCGTCTCGGATGATCTATAACACGCGATAGAATCCTCGATAGAATTCGACATTTCATTTCATTTGCGTTTCTCTTTTGGAATCTCTCGGATCCCGAAACGTAAACGTGTTGATATATACGTAGAGAACAACAATTTTGCTGGCAAATCTGAAAAATTTGGCCATGTATAGATCTGAAAATAATTTTGTTAGATCAAGATTATTTTGTAGGACGATTAAACATAATAATAATAGTATTGCAACAATTTTTGTTCTAGCAACCAATTTGCAAACGTTGTATATAATAATTTTGAAGGGAAATTATTTTCAAATTTGTATTTGATTAAATTTTTTAGATTTGCCCAGCTAAAGAATTCATCCTTCCAAATATCTTTTCGAATATGTCATTTGTTCTTTCCAAAGTAGTAAAATATGTGGACAGAACAATTTTGCTAGCAAATCTGAAAATTTGATCAAATATAGAACTGAAAATAATTTTGAAGGAAAATTATTTTCAAATCTGTATCCGGTCAAATTTTAAAATTTGCCCAGCTAGAAAATAAACCTTTAAACATCTTTTCTTTTCTTTCCAAGAATGATACTCCTTGAGATTTGAAGATCCTTAACATTTTTGGCCTTTTGCAGAAAAATTTGTTGCAACATGTTAATTTTTATGAAAAATCACAAGCAAAGTTGGATCGGGTATGCCGTACTAAGTTCTATTGTCCTCCTGTGAAGCCGAAAATGTTCAAGGGTTAAGTTCTAAAGCGAAGAAGTCAAGGAACGTGGGAGATCGTCACTTTGAACGCAGGCGGACGATATTTGGAAATAAGTCGCGGTTATAGATGGCTTGATATATGGGCTATTTCACTAATAGCACATACCGGGGATGGATGCACACTCGAGAGAAGGCACGTGGGAAGGTCGCGCGATGAATCGGAGATCGTGAGATCTTCTCCATGCACACTTTCTACGCGATAAGCGAGCGCTATGGCGAAGGGATCGACCGATCCAATCGACCGACCGAATAAGCGAACGAACGAACGAACGAACGGCCTCGGACACGTTTCAAATGCGCTGAAAATAATAAATAGCGATCGCCTTGGTTTAGCCGTGAGTCCAATGAAACCCCGTGTTCTCGTAACTCACAAGGATGATATTAGCGCGCGAGCAGCGGCGATACTTTCCAATCTAACGTGTCGATGTATGAAAATGTAACACGCCAATGAATATCTTCCTCCTTCATTAAAATATTCCTCATTTTATTTCACCTTCAATTTCTCCGCCTCTTTTAAAGTCTCCGCCTTCTTTATCTGACGAAAGATCGTAGAAAATGTTAACTTTTAGATAGATATAACGCGTTTTTGCTTTTCAGTTAAATATAACCATTTTCCAATGATCTAGTTTATATACCAATGGGTTCTTTTTTTCAAGTGCCACTGCGGAGATTGTATGTTACGTATTGAACGCACAGTGATTAATGATTACAGTAAAATGCTGCGTCGGCAGTGTCGAGAATTTCTAACGCGGGAATCCTGTCCTGCAATGTTCCTGTCCCGGTTAACTATATATTGCACGTCATTATAAAGACTTTGCCGTGCGTATTATGATGAAATATATATTTATGCACTCGTCATTTTTGCATTATGAGAAACTTGAGCAATCCTTAGTCTTTTCAGTCTTTTCTATATGCATGAATATATGTTAATCAATGCGGCAATGATCGCCTGACGTATTGCCCTACTTGCTCTGATATCAACCCATACAACTAAATTAACAATTATGTCATTTCTATAGCGAGATAAATAGCATTTTTATTACAAAAAATCTACATGGAAAGAATAATTTTGTTGAAATCTAAAACTTTGGCCAGATACAGATCTGAAGGTAATTTTGACGGGTCATCAAAATAATTCAAATTGAATGCTAGAATATCCTAAACATTGACAAAGTATTATCATCGTATTTAAGCATAGTATATAATAATAATAATTTTAATATAAAACTATTTTTCAACAAAATTATTTTTAGATTTATATCTACCTTCTTTAAATACTTGAACAAAAAACAAATAATAAAATACAAATAATAAAATAATAAAATATGTATAAAATATGATGTAATAAAAAGAATAAATTTAATTATACATAATTATATTACATTCACATTGCGTTATCTCATAATATATACGCTGTTAAATATCTCGAGGCGTCATAACGTCTTAACGCAATCATCACCTACACGTACAAATTTCTAAGCGTGACACAGAAATTTCGACTGCTGAGTTTTCTCTGTCCGCAAAAAAGACCCGCAGTAAAGGAACGTCAGAAGTATCGCCCGGATACGGATCACATTCACCGATCTTAGCGGTGTGTTATTGTTAATGATACGGTTATGACGTCGCGTTAGTGAACGCTGTTCACCGCGAACGCACCGCGAAAGATACGCACGCGTGATCGCTTTCGCAGCATGCGGCGTGCACATACGCACGCACGCACGCACGCACGCACGCACGCACGCACGCACGCACGCACGCACGCATGCACGCACGCACGCACGCACGCACGCACGCATGCACGCACGCACGCATGCACACATAGACTCGCATGCAAATGCGGACACGCGGAGCGGTTGGAAGCGTGGTCGATGAAACGGCGATGGAGCGGGCCTTTCCTCGAGCGGGAACATTAGAGAACGCGCTTCGCTACTCTCGATGATATCCCTCGTCTCGCGTATATCTCTGAGAGAGCCAAGGAAAGAGCCTCGTAAAGAGCCCGCGGTGGCTTCGCGCACTTTCACACGGATCTGAACTTTCATGACGAATCCGGTCCTCCTATGGGGAAATTGTTGCATCTCGATTAGAGCGGCCGGGGACGTTAGGTCGAGGAGGAAGAGGAGGCTCTCCTGGTACCTGGTGCGATTCACAATGCTAGAAAATTTTCAGAAGCTTGTTTCGACTATTATTGTTTCGATCGTTTCTGCATTGTTACGATTTCGTAGGAGAGAAATATATATTTGTATCGAACGAGGCTTTTCCTCTGGCCTCTGGCCGTTGCAACATCGGATTACGTGCCAAAAGCGAAACGGTTGCGGTTTCATCAAATTCTTTTTCGAACTTATTTTCGCGCTGGTGCACGAGCGCGCGTGCTATCCTATCCTTTTAATATACGAGTAATCACGTGCTCAGTTACTTGTTGCATGTAAGATACGCTTCGCGCGATTCTCAAAAGTTACACGAAATAATAAAACTCGTGCGCTGTACAAATGCAGCTGTCGGCGAACCGTGAAATTTTTATTCCTTTCATCGTAAGGCAGACGCTATTGAAATACATATCGCGGTGAGGATATCTGATTCTCTGCAATTATCGTGAAGAGTACTTTTACTTTTAAAATTTTATGACTATCGTCTCGTTACGACACGACTGTTCTGTCTACTGATTATTCGCTCGCGATTTTCGCGTGCGGTGCGATGGATTACGGTGATTCGCCAAGTATCATTTCGCGGTATCGCACAGAGAAATTGCACCGGCAAACCTGTTCTTACATTGGGCCTATCTCCCAGTCGAATCTAAATATTTCGCACAGGGTCGTTAATTTTTTCACAAATTAATCTCGTTGACCTTTAGTAGACGGGAAAAATTGGTTTTGTTGAAAATATCTAAAACTTTGGCCGGACACCGATATGAAAGTAATTTAGTAGAAAGTAATTTAGTAGTTCAAATTGGTTGCCTAGACATTATTGTTATGCTTAAGCGTCCTACTTAATAATTCTGACAGTCCAACAAAATTATTTTCATATTCTGTGGCTGGTCCAAGTTTTAGATATTTCAACAAAATAATTTCTTGCGTGTTCAATCTTTATTTTTGCGATAGAATTTGAGATAGAGAATTTGTGCAAATTGCATTGCGTGCTAAATTAAAGATTTTATTTTTACTATCTAAATTTATATACAACAATCTTGAAATTTAATCTATTATAAAGTTTTATACTTTATATTAATTGATGCAATTAATTAATGATATAATTTGAATTGCCCTTTTTTAAGAATTGGCTGTATAATAATAGCAAAATGTTGAAATTTAAAAAGAACATATTTCTTGTCCTTATACCGTTTCGAATATGAAATAAATAAATCTGAAATTAATAAAAAAGTTAAAGTACAAATAAAATAACATGGTTTTTAATGTTTTCCTGAAAGAACAAATTATAATTAATATTTTTCTCAATGGGTAACAGAAATCTTTGTGATTACAAATATTTTAATTAACTGCAAGAAACAAAAATGAATAATAATTTTGATTATTATAGGTACACTAAATAAAAAAATAAAATATAAAAATAATCAATTATCTATATTAAATTAATAATTTTAGAACGAAATATTTGTCCTAAATATTCTATTTAATTCCTATGGCATTATACGGTTTCTCTATATAAGAATCAGTACAAAACTTTGGAAATTAAATAATTTTCAAATTCAGAATTACGTATTTACGCAGAAGAAATAGTAGAACAATCTACAAAATTTTTACGCTTTTGCCAATATATTTTGATACATGACATATACAAATCTTAAAATGAATTCAAGATTTGAAAATAAGCTTTCGTTCGAATTTCAAATTGTGTAAAATGCAGACTTTAATAAGAAGAGCAGTAGGAGTTCGACCGTATTCTCAGCGGACAACGAGCATCATTACTCAAGCATCATTAGCTTGACACGGTTTAGTGGAATTAATTTGTTCTACGAGGAAGAGCTCGATCACGCAATCGGCACCGGTGGTCGATGGTCGGTGGTGTGTACGTATACGGGCATTATTATGTGCAGAGGCGATGAAAATCTCCTCTTGAACGAGAGTAACACGCGATCTCCCACGTGGAGGACGTGACGGTGGTGACGGTGAGAAGCGCGCGTTTCTCCGGACAGAGAGAGAGAAGAGAGAGAGAGAGAGAGAGAGAGAGAGAGAGAGAGAGAGAGAGAGAGAGAGAGAGAGAGAGAGAGAGAGAGAGAGAGAGAGAGAGAGAGAGAGA